ATTTATGAGACTGGAAACTCTTTAAAATTGTGGTGTAAATGAATGCCTTTTGAGTTCTATGTGGGTAAAAATGCTCTGGCTCTGCAAGTATCTTGCCTCTGTTTTATTAACAGCAATTTAACCCTTCTGCTGCATCTGTTCGCTCATCAAAGCTGATGTTTTATCTCCTTAAATAACACAAGCCTGAAGGAGTTCTGCCATTTGTGGAGTTGCTAATGCTAACGGTTAGCTTCTATGAGCCAAGGTGTGCTCTGCTCTCTACTTAAAGTAAAATCAGTAATGTAATGTTTGAAAACATTGGAAAATGTGTGAGGATCGTGGGTGATGATGTTTGTCTGCCTCCAGTTGACCTGCTTGGCCTGCTGAAGTGGCGCACCAACACCAGCTTGCTACAGCAGAACCTCTGTCAGCTGATGAAGGTGGATGGTGGAGAAGTGGTGAAGGTCAGTCTTCAATACTCTTAAAATTTATTCTTCTTTTCTTGCAAATTCTTGCGCCCTTGATTTATTTTTTCCCAAAATTTGCTTTAATGCAGATTAGCATGCACGATTAAAGTAACTGGACAGCTGGTGGCAGAGACGGTGCAGTCACAAAACAATCCTTGTAACCCTGGAAGTGACAGTTTCCTGGCAGCAAATTTACCAGTGATTTCTCTTCCTGTCAAAGGCACCGGGCTGCTTTTTTATGGCTTTGTTTTGATGTCTGGAGAGCAGAGAACATGCAGCACCACACACTGCTCACCGAAGAGAAAGGGGTGACTCGCTGTTAGTTGCATAGTCGGACCACTTAAGGCCTCAGTGTGGGGCAGATGAAGAAATCATCTTGGAGAGGATTTTTTTCATGGTGCCGGTGGAGTGCCTGCAGAGCAGCGTAGTTAGGACTCCATCTATCTGGCCTGATCAAACTGGTTTTATAGATGTATCAGCCTTTGCTGACTCATTTCATCACGCCATGTAGGTGTCATTAATATTACCACTACATTAGCACTCAGTCTCCAGGCTTTTAGCAGGCAGTGAGATGGCATTTTTCACTTGGTGTTTATAAAAAGATTTCTATACTGTTATGAAGACTGAGTCTAGAAACAATGCATGAATGGTTGCTAAAAGATGCATACAGAGAAGTATAGTTTCCTAATAATGTGTCTGGGTTAACACATTAAAACTGCACGATGCATTTTTTTTATTTACACGATGGCCCTCATCTGTTCTGACATGATGGATTGACCACAGTATGGAGCGATAGCTAACAGTTTGAAAAAGAATGACAAAAGGACTAAAGATACACGGTAAATTTAGTTCACAACAAAAATATTTGTTTTGGTTTAATTTGCAGTTTCTAAAACTACAAGGACCCACCTTCACACAGTTTGTCCAGAGGAGAAAGGAGAGAAAAACAAATACATGGAGCTGGGTTTAGTTTGTGAAACACCACAAGATTAAAATACAAACTGTTGTACGGTATCAAAGTTTGCTTTCGTTTCATTTGTAGTTCATAATACATGGACTCCTCATCATAGTTATTCCAGGGGGCATAGAAGAGGGATAGGAGTACATGGAGCAGGGTTTGTTTTTGCGTAAACAGTTGTTAAAGTTTTTCACATTGAAGAATTTTGTACAACACTACGATTAAAATATGAACAGTTGTATGTTATTTATCATCATATTTATCACATATGGTTATTTGTTATTTATTGGGAAAATAATATATATTTAAATGAAATAGCAATTTAAATATTAAACACTAAAAAGTATTGAAAATTGATACCGATAAGTACCGGTATCCATTTGTAGGTACTGGGAATTGGTACTTTATCGATTCAAATGCCAAAGGTATCTATCCCTAACGTGGGGACTTAATGCCGAGCTCTAGCTGGCAAATATATAGAAAATGAAAGTAAACACAGGCAATAAGTTTTGCTTTTTAACAAAATCAGCTGAGACGGCTAACTGGAGCGCTGCAGCACTCCATGAGCGTCTCACGGTTAGAGCTGAAGCGCAAATCACCAGAGAATGCACGGAGACTGATGGGGACAGACACCTTTAGGAGCGACTTGTTAAAAAAACTTAACGATCACGGCTTCAATCACAATAAAAAGCAAGTTATGTCCAAATAAACGGAAATCCGCAGCAGCTTAGAGACCGCCCCCATACCCCCTTTATGCTGCTATTGCCTAATCTTTTATAAAAAGAACATGATTGCGCCACTTTACCGCCACGGTCCGACCACTTGATGCTGCCACGGCGTTGCGGCAAATTGACGGCATTGTTTTGTAAAAACTGCTTAAGAAAACAAGCTGGAGGTGGTCATGCCACCCATCCCTCACTCTGGCTGCTATGAGCTGAGAAGCTCCAATATCTAGGAGGACCTATACGTAGAGCCGCTGATCCTCCAGCAGCAGCTGCTCTCCTGCATGAGAGGTGGTTTTATTCTAATTTTCCTTTTATAATACCACGATGTTAAATTAAGTGTAAAATGACAAGAATTGTTGTCTGGTCATTGAGTTTTTTTTTCAGCCTCCCATGGAATGAGTTTGACACCCCAGCATTGGGACGAGTATAGAGGCAAATTTGTGCTCCTGTTTGAGATATCTTTAACTCGTTCCCAGTAAGTTCCAGGAATCACAAAATCTGATTGGTAAAATCAAATCAAAATTTTCAAGACTTAAAATTGCTTTAACTCAAGAAGTTTTTGAAAAATGCTCTTAGTGTTTAACAGTTGCGACTTTAGATGATGGAAACACAAAATGTGTATTAGTTTCACTTTTTAAGAGAAAACAAAAGTTTTCATGATAGAAATGACTATTTCTAAGGATGTCTCTTGAATTTTTCATGCTTCAGTTCTAGCATCCATTTGGTGCTTTAAACACTAGAGGATTTGCTTTTCTGCTGCTACCAGATGTCCTTGTCCACAAGTCAGAATAACTTGGCTTTTCTGTAGTAAAATATTACACGATACTTTGCCTTGTGAATTCACTTCATGGTGACTAAACAGACAAGTGCTTTTGTTAAAGTTTTTATTTAATTAACTCATTTAATTAAAAATGTTTCGGAATAATGATGCGTGCAGAATTATAATATTGTTTTTTACTGAGTATAGATAATTAAAGGTGTGGTTTACTTGTTTATTCAATACATTTACAGTGTCCTCTAGTGTAATTCAGTCGGTGTGTTTACATGTCCACCAGAAAACCGAAGGATTGTCCTAAAAAATGCATGTAAACGCGTTAGTCTGGCTGAAAGCGAACTCTTTCTAATTGAGCTGAAGCAGCCAGATAGCAATTCAAATACACTCTAGACCAAGCTAACACAGTTTAGACGCTCGCATTCCGGAAGTGACAAGACTGCAGAAGCTGTGTTCTGACAAGACCACCGTCACTAAGCAACACGCGCAACACCATAAAACAGGACAGTTCGTACAAAATAAGCTGTGCTTCAGTGTTGTTGTTGTGCATTCCTTCAGTCATTGTGCATGTCCTGTTTCAATTCTGTCTGCTTCACTCCTTCCAGCCTCTGTTTACTGCTTGTGTTGCTATAAGCTAACTGGAAAATGATATGAAAAGGGGTATGTCGCCACCTACTGTACTGGAGTGGAACAAACTTTACATGCGAGGCTGGTTTTCTAATGGGCATGTAAACTAGGATAACACAGCTTATTACAAAAAGATCCACCTGGATCGACTTAGATGTCGGTCAGTGCTCATGTAAGCGCTGTGAATGTTGTAGGTGTAATAAAAGAAGCTATGATACTCCGGCTTTTAGATGCAGAAATTTGCTGTTGCAGAAGTGGACTGAAAGCAGCAGGATTGCTCATTATTACTGATACACACACACCTGCTTCCTGATTGGCTAACAGAATGAGTTCAGCCATGTTTCAAAGTCACTATCACCAAGACCCCCTCCGCTCTCTGTCCTCGCTGCAATTTGTTTTTTAAAAAGCTTCCCTGTGGGTGGATGCGAGCCACGATGGGTGAGGCCATGAATGCAAATTTGCAGTGTGACATAGATATGTGAGGATTTTCTAATCCTAGAGTTTCACCATCTGTTTTCTATCAGAAACTCATGCAGGATGTGTAGGAGACTGTTTTCATGTTCAGCATGCACGACAAACTCAGTGACCGATTATAATCAGAAATAATAATTAAAACATGTTTTTTCAGTCAACCACGCCTTTAAAGATATTAATGAATCAATGAATGAATAATATTTTGGTTTCAAAGGAACATCTTGCAAATTCAAACCAAAAAGTGTTACAACTATGTAACTTTGTAAGTTCTATGTATTTTTTAGCTGCCATAACACGCTGTGCATCTGCCTTCTCAGTTTCTGCAGGACACTTTGGATGCTCTCTTCAACATCATGATGGAAAACTCTGACAGTGACACTTTTGATACGTTGGTGTTTGATGCCTTGGTAAGCACAGACTGCAGACAAGAAGAGCCGAACGTAAACCACAGCAAAGAATCCTGTCAGCAGAAATAAATGCTTGAATACAAATGCAGCTCAGAGACAAATGATTAATGTTGTGAAATATTTAATGTGCTAAAACACTTTTTGATGGACACCCCTGCACCACTTGTGCTGCATTTTGATGTTGGAATAAACTGGAAGCGATAAAAGGAGATGTAAATCAAAAGTTTGAGAGAAATAAATTGAGTTTCACCTGGTTTAGTGGAAGAATTTTGCTCTGTAATCTTACCACCTGAGCTAATCTGAAGATAAACATTTGATGCAACATTAGGGTTGAAGTTTCCTGTAATACAAAGCAAAAAGATGATGCCACAGACTCTTTGGTAATGTGTTGCTTGTAAATGTTGCTGTGAAATACACAAGAAGGTATCACGCCGAGTCCCATCTAGCATGCCTTCGGCTAACATCAGGGGTCTACGTCTCAAAAGGGCCGTCTTCTCTCCCCAAATAAGGACGAATAAATTGTGTTTTCAGGGGTTTGAGATCATCTGCAGACCAGAGAATTGAGAGAAAATTGCTTTCTGCTCAAATGCAATCTGGTGTAATTTCCCAATCTATTTCAACATATTGAGTAAGACAGGTAGAGTTTGGTGCCGTTCGTTAGGAGGCCTGTGGTTTACAATCTAATGAGCACATCTTTGTTCTCCTGACAGGTGTTCATAATTGGACTCATCGCCGATCGAAAGTTCCAGCACTTTAACCCTGTTCTTGAAACCTACATCCGTAAACATTTCAGCGCAACGCTGGCTTACACGTGAGTTCACTTCACTGTGATCAAGGACATTTCATTTAAAGGAATGATCTGTTTTGTCACAGGAGGTGTGGTGTTGTGTTTTCAGGAAGCTGACTAAAGTTTTAAAGAACTACGTGGACAATGCAGAGAAGCTGACGGAACAGCTGCTGAAGGCCATGAAGGCTCTGGAATACATCTTCAAGTTCATCGTGCGCTCCAGAGTCCTCTTCAACCAGTATGTGCTGCTGCATTAACACTAATGTATAAGGTTGGGCATCGAGAATCGAGCATCAATTGGAACCGGTTCTAACTGTTCATTTTTCCCGGAATCACACAACGTTTTTTATTTCAATTCCTCGTTTCGATTTCTAGTATGCCGACGGAAAAGGAATCCGCAGCCGAACTCCGTGTAAAATAAAAGATGATCTGCAAATTGTGATCAATGCTTTTCAGAGCTCATCACACCAGCTGTCTGTGTGCACCGAGTCCTCCCTCCCCCACCCGGCGCGCAGCGGCCAGATATAAACAAATGCATCTGCCAAACTTTTACTCCATAATGTAAACTTTAACTCCTGCAGCGTAGAGGAAACTTGTTAAAATACGTCAACATGGTGGATTTAATAGAAGCTTTAAAGAACAAACTCTGGATGGTGTGAGGTGAGTTTGTCTCACTGCAGAAATAAAAACACACGGAGCGTCAGAAGGCTGAACAATAACCTGTAGAATAATTAAAGTCATGCTAGAGAAGCTTTTCTGTGGTGGACCACACCAGCTTCTGCCACAATAAATAATAATAATAATAATAATAATAATAATAATAATAATAATAATAATAAAAAATCACACACAAAGTTGTGAACATTTTAATTTCCTTTCTGAACTATTTCTGTTGAGAGTTTTAATGTTTAAAATCTGTTAGATAGTTACTGACAGCAGCTACATTTAGGTTTCACTTCCTGTTCTGACTGAATGCTGCTGCAGCATGGAGGTGTAGTTCTCAGTCATCCTGGACATGATCATCCTGAGAGTTTTAGCTGAAAACAGCTGGACGTTTCTGGATATGTTGGAGACATTTAGCCTCTCATCCCAGAGGCTTCTTCCAGACTTTGGTTGTGGTCAGAAACAAACACACTGATTGTGCTGCAAGTCTTTTCTTTTTTTTCTCCAAAACATGTTTTTGTCTAAATGAAGGTGATGTTATTGTTCATAGAATTAAAATTCATGTTGACGTTAAGATTATTTAATCAAGTAGGACCTGTGGTTAGCTGGCTCATTTAAAACATGTCATGTCTTCAAAGAAACTGAATCGGGAATCGATAGGAACCGGAATCGAAACGAGGAATTGGAATCGGAATCAGAATCGTTCAAAAGCAAACGATGCTCAACCTTACTAATGTAACAGTTAGTACTTAAAAACACCAAAGATGCATCAACATACAGCAAGAGTTTAGTTAACGTCCTCTACTAATAACATTTTGCAGCATGTCAGATGAGGTATGGGGCTGGTGTTAGGGATGGGAATCTCACAACTCACTATTCAATTTGATTCCAAATCTCACGGCGACGATTCGATTCTGAATCGATTCTCAATCAGTTCTCTTAGTAACAGGTCACTAGAGTGTAGACTAGAGTGTGTGTGTGTGTGTGTGTGTGTGTGTGTGTGCGTGCATGTGAAGAAGCGGGTAAGAGAATACAATGTCATGCGAAACATTTTAAACTAGCATACAGGTTTTGTGATGCATTTGCATGTATTCACATAAACCAGTAACATTTATCACTGAACACAAGAATAAAAGGCACTAATTAGTCTTAACAAGCATCAGTTATGCACAGCGCTGTCGGCATGAAACAACACACCAACTTACTTACTTTTTGACTCATAAAATGCACACAGGACAATAATAAAGGTAAGTATCTGCTATATTTCAGCAGACTGCAGCTCAGGCAGTTAACGCCGGAGCAATGATGTGTTCAGGGATGCTTGGAAACATGACTGTTTGCATAACAGCGACATGAAACAACACATAAACTAAATAGGACAACACCATATAAACATTATGAAACATAATGGAACTCACTTCTTGACTCATGAAAGACAGAATAATAGGAAAGGTGAGACGCTGTTGTATTTCAGCAGACTGCAGCGCAGGAGCACATAGAGCGAGTACACAGTGAGCAGCTAATGCCAGCACTGGCTCCAGCAAAGATGCATTCAGGTACTCCCAGAAACATGGCAGCTTACAGAAAGGCTTTCCGACAAGATCGATTCTTGATTATCTTAGGTGTGTTCTTGCTGTGTCTTTGTAAATGCATGGATTCTTGATTATGATTCGATTCTGAATCTTTATAAGTAGGAATCGCAATTCAAATGTGAATCAGTTTTTTTCAGGCACCTCTAGCTGGTATGATGCCCTCTCCATTTTCAAAAAACAATGAAGCCAATTTGCCGCAAAGTGGAGGCGTCTTCAGGGAGCCTTTGGTCAGTCATACGTGGTCAGCCTGTGGTGGGAATGTGGCACGATTATTGCTTTTCTCAAAAGATTATGCAATAGCTTTATAAAGGGGTTGTGGGGGTGGTCCCCATGCTGCCATAGACACCCTATTAGCTTGGATGTAACTTGTTTTTTATCCCAATTGAAGCTGCGCTCCTTACAGTTTTTTCACACATGATTAAGACTAACCCTAACCCAGTGCATGTAATTCTACTGAGGAAGGTGTTCACCCAACTAAAAAACACATTTTATTGTGCTGTTTAACAAGATCAGACATGGCGTGATAATTACACTACAGATGTATTAATTTTATATTTTAATAAAACGAAGTTTGATTGTTCATTTGAATTTCTCTCTCTCTCTCTCTCTCTCTCTCTCTCTCTCTCTCTCTCTCACACACACACACTCACACACTCACACACACACACACACACATGCTAAAACTCTTGAAATAGAACAGGTCTGACCATAAGACTGACCATCTGACTGCCCTGCGGTGGGATTGCTATTCCAGCCTCCAAAATTTTTTAGTTTAGTCACTTCAGTTGCAGAGATGAGCACCATGGACAGTCAGAGTCGTTACAGATATCTTCTGATGATAAAAAAGGAAATTATAAACTGTTTTCCAACACCGGTAGGCTAGGAAAGTCTAAAGTAATCCCATGTGATCTGTTTTCAATAGTACACCAGTTGTTGCAACCGTAGGCTGTACTAAAAACAGGCATGTGCTCACGCCACGTCAGTGGTCCTCAATCGGAGGTCCGAGGGCCCGTAAACCTCCCCTTTCTATTCTCCTCCACCCCCCGCACTGGACATTTCATTCTGTCCAATTACGCTTCTACATATTCATGTTTGAACTAATTAGCCAAACAGCAACCATGCAGCAATCGCAGGTAAAAAATGCTAAGTCCCGTAGCTTGTTGCATACAACTGGAACAGATGTAAAGAAAAGGATGTCTTTTTCACTATGAGTAACATTTCCAAACAGCCAACTTTGCCTTTATTTAAGAGCAGAGCGGTTTAGGGGAATTCCCTTCTTTCAGTCAACAAACAGCTGAGTGACAGCTCGCAGCAACAAGGGGGGTGATGCTCTGCTCTGCTCTACATGCGACTGGAGAAAACTCCACACTGTCTCTGTCATCTCATTAGAAGGGATTTAAACCACAGGAATGGTATGACAGAGACTTGTATTGGTTTTTAAAAACCGTAGCACAAAGTCAAACCAAATTCCAGCCCTGGCCTTCTGATGTCAGAACTGGGATGACGGCGCTAAGACAGACAAAACGGGAATGTAATTTGGCCATGTCTGTTGGTGTTTTTCTAACTGGGGATGTCAAATGGATGAGGTTTGGGCTGATGTGTGATCCTGGGCTAATTGAGTGCGTGGAGTTTGATTGGTTTTCAGCCCAGTGTCTGGAGGACACTTTGTCCTCTGCCTCACTTGTAAAACCACGGCGGTATCGCTCTTTTCCCACACAGACACCAGAATTTACAGACATGTAGTTGTTGAAGCCCGTCGCTGCTGGAATGACAAAATGGCATCATCAACAGGGGTTTGGCTTTTTAATACGGACTAGTGGGACATTTCTATAAAATTGAGGAGGATCACCCTAATCAGGGTTTCCTGCGGAGGCATGAGGCTGTCCAGAGCTCAGTGAGCTCCTCGGTGCTGCGGGTGAGCGGCAGCTTTAAGTAATTGTTGTGGTTGGATCTCTGAGACGGATGCCTCTAATCCTGTGATTTCTGTAAGCCCTCAACAGTGGCTGGCCTCTAACGTGTAATTCCTGCACTGCCTCCAGATATATTATAGCATCACAAAACCCACCTCAGTGGAGGAAGTCAGGGGATTTCTCACACAGAAGTCGGACCAGTTTGCCTGTTTCTTCTGCCTCCTGCAGCTTCCGTTTTCAAATCTTTTAACTCCTCCAGTAAGATCTGGCTTTTATTAGGTTGCTGCAAAATTGTGGCTTTCTTCCAAGCTGATAATCACGTTGTGCATTCTTGGGGAGGCTATAAGTGGACAAAAACATATTGGGGTGAATTTAACCCTGGTTTACAGATGAAAGTATCGGATTTCTTTCTGTGATCTTTTGCTTTTTGTTATTACAAAGAAATTCGTCACCTCACATAGATTAGAAAGCAAACCAAACATACTCTAACCTGACCTGTGCTGTTTTCCACTAGTTCTCTAGCTGTTAGTTTAGGTTGTTCATTTTTCACAGTTTTGTTTGTGTGTGACAACAGGCAGGAGCTTCAGGGTCTTGCCATGTTGTTCTAAATCCTAATCCCGCTGGCAGCAAGAGTGATGTCTGTGGTTCTGATCCGAGTGTATTAGCATAGATAACCCAGTTTTTAATGATTTAAGAGGGAAAGTTGATACTGGTCATTTCCAACACCGGTGGGGCTGTTTACATGAGGATGAAACAAACAGCAGCCTGCCGGACTAACTCTCTCCTTCGTGTCCTCCCAGGCTCTATGAGAACAAAGGAGAGGCCGACTTCATGGAGTCCTTGAGGAACCTTTTCACATCCTTTAATGACATGATGAGCAGTAATTCAGAGAACACTGGCATGGTGAAGGTAGGCTTATTATCACACGAGTCCAACTGTGTATTATCGCTCCAACTCCGTGCCAGGAGGCGTCTACTGCGGCATGAATAGTAAATAACTGCTGCTGTGTGAATAGTAAATAAATCTGGTGTGATTAACTTTGGATGACATACTCTGTGAGGAGGGGAAGCGTGAGGCTTGTTTCTGCTGCAGCGGCTTATTGGATGTTTATATCTGACTTCCTTCTTGTTGACTGTCTTTGTGTCTTTACCTTTTTTCTGTATAGATTTTCCAAATCTTCAATCTTTTTTCCCATGCTTTACTTTTGAGGCTGCACATACAATAACATTTAGAATACGTTACATTGTTAGTTTTCATATTTTTAATAGCATAATTTTAATTTAGATGCTTTTAGCTTCAAAGGGATTTTTTAGACAATTTGAAGGTGTGTTTCTGTCAATAATTACTGCCTTACTTTTTATAGATGGCTTCTTTAGTGGACTATCTAAAAAAATCGTGTTTACATTCTACAGGACTGACAAGCTAACAGCTAGTCAGAGCACCTCCAGCTAAGACCTCCCTATAGCCCCACTCCCCACGTTACTTGGTTGGAGAGGTGTCTGATGGCAGTTTATTCTAGCTTCAGCTTTGCTACTATAAATGCCAAAATCCTCCTCAGGGTGCCGCGGCAAATTCCGTTTTGAAAACGCTGTGGTCCTGTAAAAACAGCTTTTGTGTTGCTGGGATACAACAAGGCATGACATTAAGGTGTAAAGCATCTCACTAGCATAGTTTGCTAGCAAAACTTTAGCTAGCATGCTATCTGCTATTTATATTAATTAATTAATACATGTATAGATTTAATATTTATTTTTACACTGGAGCAGTTTTAAGACTTTTACAATTTGAACTTTACTGTACTTGGACTAGCCGTTAGTTCATCAGTCTTGCCAGTCTTGTATACCCTGTTTCTCAGAACTGAGGCTTTTCAGGAACCTGTTTACTAAAAGTTAGATTGTTCAAATGTTTTAAACAGGAGCACACTTCAAAATGACTCCTGAGTCTGAACACGATGTAAATGGTAAGTGGTTCGTATTTATATAGCACCGTCTAGAGTCACCACCACAATTGGCTTAAACAAACATCTGACAAATTGTCTTATTGTTTGTTTTAATCTCTTAAAAAGGCTCCCATTGGGCATTAAGTGCAAGATTTTTATATCCATTCTACAGAAAGGAGTGGTGCGTAATACCTGATGCTTATCCTGGGATATGACAAACGAACATGTGTGTTTGATTTGTTATGGCAGAGTGACTTTGTTCTTTCTTATTTAAACAAAAAAATCCAGCAAGAACTGCATTTGTTTTACAAATAATAACAATTTATCATTTATAGGTTGTGATTAAATCAGTGCAACAGATTATTTTTTAAATCAAAGTATAATAGTATTTATTCCCAGATATCCAGAAGTGATACGCCGTTGAAAACGTATTTGGAGGAGATTAGAGTTTTCTTGTGCAGCCTTATTGATTTTTCTTGCATCTTCAACTTATGTGTGTTTGTTTTGTGTTGATTTCTGTTGTTTGTTCCTTTATTTGTGTGGTTTTCCTCCCTACGTCTCTGTCTGACCCTGCCTGTCCTGATGCTTGGGTCTCCTCTGGCACTCTCCTCTTTAGCTGCTTCTAAAGGTATTTAATTCTCTGCTTTCCCCCCGTTTACCCACATGCATCCTGTTTTTCATGCACTTTGTTTTCTTTTATCTTGTACTCTGTGACCCCAGATTAAAAGCAAACACACAAGGATGTGTTTCTCCCCCTCTGCCTGTACACACTCACCTCCAAACACACCTATGCTTTTAGAGATAACATAATCACAGGGTGCATGCACCTCGGAACACCTACAGCAGATCCATGTGCACAGTCAACCATATGAGCAGCTCGGGACTCAATTAGGAGTCAGTTGCTGTGTAATTCGGTGCGATATTAGCTTTACTGTCGGTAAATTAAAACCTGATCTTGAGGAACGGCCATGTAACCGAGGATTCTTGCTTTCTTCCCAAATCCACCTCACAGGCACCATAGCAGGTGGCAGCTAATGAGCAGTCCCATTATACATCTAAGGGCTGAATCCTGATGAACATCTGGACAAATCTGCACGCATGCATGTGAAAACTTTGATAAACACACGCTCATTTCAACTTTAATCAACAAATGCAAACAAATTCTTATGAGGCTTTACACTGGTGCTAAAATAAAGTCATTTCTGCACAACAGGTAGGAGTTTAGTTGCCATTGGGAACAACATGGGGAAAAGATTTTCAACGGGTAAACAAAGAGATGTGATTGTTTTTCTTTCTCATAACAGTCTGACTGTAACTAAAGCAAAAATCGTTTAAAATCCAGTCCTCAGATTTGTCTTTCCTGCCTGCAGAGAGATGAAGGTGTTTCTTTGTGCATAGTAAAGCACTAAAAATGACTGAATGAATAGGATTAGTTTGGATTAAAGCCGAGCTTTATTTGGATTTCATGACTATCTCCTGAAAATCCTACGGTGAGGATAGAGATGTCCTCCGAAGTTGGTCTCTGCTTGATGCGTGCAGAGACTCAACATTAAAGTTGGTGCTTTCTGTGTTTCCAATTTATTTAAATGCCAGCAATTATTTCTGACAAGTTTCAAATATAAACCATGCACGGTAATAAGTACATCCAGTAAGCTGCAACTGCACAGTTAATCAATGTCTATAAGATGGACTGGCAGTGAAGCCAATTTGCACAGTTACTGTATAAACATGCCAGCCCACCTTGGCTGGCATTTAGCTGCAGTCAGTTAGGGAGGAAGGTGTCAGCTTGGTTAATCATTAGTGTTATTAATCACCTCTCTGTGAGCGGTCATGGTGTTTATGCACTTGATGACTGTATTGTATGGCGGATGGGCCAACTCAAACTGAAGGTGAGCTCAAACACATAATTGTGTTTTTAAAAGAAGTGATTTCGTTGAGCTCAGGTTGTTTCAATAATTTAAATATTTGAGAGAAAAAATGTTCTTTGCATCAGTCAAACTTTTGTTGTCTGCATGCTCCTTTTACTGTTAGTCGTCATCATCATCATAATGCATTTTATTTGAAGCGCCTTTCTAAAAACTCAAGGTCACTGTACAGTAAGAGAAAATAAAACATTCAAACAAGCACAACAAAGGAAAATAATTACAGTACAAGACTAGTAAATTTAGAACCAAGATAAAACACATAAAATACAGTTATGTCATGGTTTTGATATTACTCCTACTTCCTCCTACTTCCCTTCATGTTCTGATGCGGTTCCCTTTGTCCCATCCTGTCTGTTTTCATCAGCTTTTGGCAACACATTTGCTACTGATTGATTATCTGCATGGAAGTACCAGCAGTTTGAAACAGTCAGGGCCACTATTATTTTCTGTCATACTAATGTAAATGCCCTATCAGGATTGGCCATAATCAGGCAATGCAAAGTTTACTTTTGTGCAGCGCTGAGGAATGCCCCATCTCCTGTCCTCCCCCTGCAGTCCACCCCAATGGCCATGGCTTAGAGCAGTGGTTCCCAAACTGTTCAGCTTCAGACCCACATTCAGCAATTGTTAAGACGTACGACCCAAGATATCATGACGACATGAAGATGAAACATGCTTGAAAAGCAAAAAATTTCTATCCTATAAAGCTAAAAAAAAACTGTAGCAGTAGCAAAAGATCTTGCTCTGCAAGTTGACCTAGCAATGCTCCATTGTAGCCTCAGCAGGTCTACCACATGCCTGAACACTTTTAGGTCCAGGTAACACGGCGCTCTACAGTATGTTCGTAGAGAGACACTGGGCGGGCTTCGCACCAGAGCTGCGATGAAAAAAGAACTATAAAGAAGACATCAACTCAGGAATGGCGCTCGTTTGAAATGGCTTAGGCATCAAATTTGGATGATTTACCTCTAATCCACACTGGAGGCATCAGCAGTGCAGAATGGTCGTGGCAGTCGCTACGCATCAAATAGAATCTGTTATAGTCTATGGGGTTGATCCAAACCGGCCGTGGTGCGGAACATTAAAGGAGCGCCCCAAAGGAGGCTTGCTGCACTGCCAAAGATAGGATTGGGTTCGATTTTTGCCACAAGCTGCTTCTGGGATACGTCAATTTCCGCAGTTAACATAGGGTTAGACAGGAAATCACACAAAGTGTAAAATTTCCTGTAATTCACTGAATAAAAGACTACTGTAGCAATGCTATTTCATATCTAGGTCGATTACACCAAAACATTTTACCTAATGGCTTATTTACTCCCAGCATATTATAAGACGTACAGCAGTGTGCTTTTCCTGGGTTTAATCCTGATAGTGGAGAGGAACAACATCATAAATGACATCAAACAGTGATATTAAAAGGGATCGCCAACTTCTTCTTCTTCTTCTTGATTTAATAGCAGATGGGATGAACAAACCGTGACCTTTATAGTCATATATATATATATAAATATATATGTATATATATATATATATATATATATATATATATATATATATATATATATAGATAGATAGATAGATAGATAGATAGATAGATAGATACCAGTATATCGATATAGATATATAGATCCGGCTACACAACTGAGACTCCCCCGGTGTAGATTGATGCACCGCAAAGCACCCGGGTAAACTGTCCAGCTGCCATTCCGTGCCGCTGATGCCTCCAGTGTGAATTTGGGGACATTTCTTTAGCCTCTTTTATAAAATCATGCCACCAATTTGCTGCAAGGATGAGCCAGCATCAGGGAGCCTTAGGTAGTTTGTAAGTGGTCAGACTGTGGCAGTAATGTGAAAGAACGAAAACAATCCTTTATATAGTGGTGCATATGTGTCCTTTTTACAAACAATAGCACAATGGCGGTGTATAGGGGGTATGGGGGTGATCTCTGCGCCGCCGCGGACTTTCAATTAGCTTGGACATAACTTACTTTTAATTATGAGCAAAATTGCACCCATTAAGTTGTTTTGACGAGCCGCTCCTAAAGATGTCTGTCCTCTTTAGTCCCTGTGCAGTCTCAGGTGATCTGAGCTCCAGCTTTAACATACAGAAACCCCTGGAGCGCAGCATTTCTCCAGTTTATTACCTCAGCTGATTCTGTTTAGAAAGGCAAAATTTACAGCCCGTGTTTACTTTCATTTTCAAAATAGTTGCCAGTTGGAGCTCGCCAGTGACTCCCCACGATACCATGACACCACCCTCTGTTGTGCCAAGGCGTGATATGCACTCAGGTCTGGCATTGCGGCAATATTACAACCAAGCTTGGTGGAACGAATGTCGCAAAATTCCCACATCACCATGCCGCCATGGCGCGTTCATAAGACTCATCGTGGCGGCTGTATTACGCAGATTCACCTGCATGGTGTGCATTCTAAAAAGGGCTTGTGAGACATGAGCAGATAGAGGTACTTATTTATTTAGAAAGGATATTTTTGGTTCTTCTTTGACGGTGTACTGCAGACTGACCCGTTAACTGATTTCAGTAGCAATGAATACGTCATGTGGTTTGTTGCTCTGATTGGTCCTAGTGCCGTCCAGTAGCTGCAGAGACCGTTTGAAAGACAACCATTTTGTTCCAAAGAAGACATGCATGAATGAATTAGAGTGGAGACTTTGGGCCAGACCCTCTCATCTAATATCAGTGACTGACCTCGAAAAGATAAAGATCAAAATCCCTGTAAAAATATTTCCAAACCTTGTGCTAAAATGTCTCTGAAAAAGGGGGATGCTGTTACAGCTGCTGGTAGACCAGCTCTACATTTAACCCTATATTAAGAATAAGATGTTATTTGAGTTCATCTGTGCCCACAAAGGTGCATATCCTGATGTTATGATTTGATTTATCACACTGACAGAGCCACACCTCCGTCAGTGCGCCCCGAGGCAGCTGTAGCTACATCGCAGCTCATCACCATCAGTGTGTGAATGTTTGTGTGAATGGATGAATGATGCACTGTAGTGTAAAGCACTTTGGAGTCCTTACTCTGAGAGGCGCTGTACAAGTGCGGGTCATTTATCATTCATTTAAATGTAAGATTTAAAGATGAAAATGAGCAAACATTAGATCATTTTTCAGCAGCACACACTCTACACAACCAAAAATGTAACTCTTCTAATTTGTCACCCGCTGTCTGTAATTTGTCTATTTCCGTTGATCTCACTGTCCAATATGTTGATTGAGTCTGTTCAGGTGTTTTTGAGTCTTTAGTGTTTTCAGTTTAAATCTCAATTCCTATCTTCCTTTTGTGAAATTTAGTTCACAAATCCCACTACTTCACTCCTGCATAGATGAATCAGCCTAAGCTTTTCTCCTGTTTTAATCTCCTGAAGGGTGCTGCACTGAAGTACATCCCCACCATTGTCAACGATGTCAAGCTGGTTTTTGACCCAAAGGAACTCAGGTAATTGAACTTTTATTTATTTATTGGTCATCTGACCAGTTTTCTCATTCGGTTATTTATATTCTGAGGGGAATCCGCTTGTATAATAGATCTAACAGATCTGTGGTTGCTCTGAAGATGAGGTTTATTTAATTATGCATCACTTTTAATTAAAACTTTATGAAAAAAAAACTTCATGGTGAGGTGGACTGAAAAGAAGTTTTATTTATTTTCTTAGGTGCCTTTTTCTCCCAACATTCACTCTATATACAGTGATGTCTTTTGTCTTTTGCTTAAACTTGCTCAGGTTGCCATGGAAACCCTATGACTGCGACACTGAAGTTCTCATATGTAGTTAATGTCTCCCACTGCGAATGTCATCAGCCATAGCGCTATATGCTTGCCTGCATAACCGATTCTTTATGAAGTGCCACGCACTGATCTGTTCATTTATGAATGTGGGGAGGAAATAATCTGTCAGTCTGTTTGTCTGGGTGACTTCTTTTCTGCCTTTTTGCAGACTTGAACCCCTCTGGGGTTTAAGGTTTCAGGCTAAATTACTTTTAGTTTCAGTAAGAATACTTGAACATGATTAGATAACACATTTTAATGCCAGGAAAAATAGAGTGAAACATAACCGGTTCACAAGATTTATTTTTTTGGCGCAATTTTATAAAATAAATTAATAAAAAATACTAGCATCACTTTTGACTGTAGCTGTAATTGTTAAACATGTGGTACACCTGGGCCATTAATCTGGCTTTTCATCAGAGGCTTAATGAATGAGCAAAGGTGGCATCAGCTGTTCGTGTTGCTAACACAAACCATGCCAAGACCCTGCGCTGGAGGCAACCAGACTGAAGCCTTGGGGATGGAGGGTGTTTCATCTGATGCCAAAACCATTTTCTCTCCTCCTTCAGTCTGAGCCTGGCTGCCTGTGTAATGAGCAGAGGAAACAATAAGCTTTATGCATGAATGCAGGTTTCATCTTTTAACATCTGAACTGTTTCTGGTTTGATGTTTGGGGAAGCGTGGGGATCAAAGGAGTGATTTTTAGCTCCAGTATTCCAGTTAAAAGTTCCACAGAGGTCCTTTGTGTCAGTTCTACATCATTGCGCTGAATTTGATGAAATAGAAAGTATCTTAAATTGCAGTAATTTTGATGACTGCTCTCCTGTGACTCCAGACTATCTGAGAATTCAGTAAATTTAGTAAAAATTTCACAAACTATACTTATCACCAAATATTATATTGATGCTTAATAATATTAGGCTTCAGATGTCATTTTTAGGAGGTTTGACATAAGTGGTGAATAGAAAGCTGGATCAGGTGACTTCTTTCCACAGATAATTTAGCTGTATATATTTAATCTCTTTATTCTTTGTAATTTTGGATAGCTCCACAGTTAAGTAAATGTTTTGTTATTGCAATTATTTTTTTGATGCATTATATGACATTTGCAGAAAGTGCTCCAGAGATCTGTGTAATATTACTAGAAAATTTCATAATTCTTTTTTTTATTACCACCCTTGAGGCTGGTCTAGGTGAAAGGAATGGGTAACATAAAAAGGCATGTGCAAGATGTTAAAAATTAAACAAGTTTTTTTTATTACAAACAGAATAATGTACAAGAGGACACTACTAACCAAACTGAAATTAAGCTCTTAGCCATTTAACGGCATTTGCACAAAGTACTCCAAAAGTCTGTGTAATATTAGATATTTTGTGATTTTTCTTTTTTTTAGATTAAATTTCCACTTAACAACACAAAAACTCAGCTTAATTCTCTAAACTGTTGATTTGACGTTGCATGTTATTTTCTTTATTGACCTTGTGATTTCTATGTTTATGTTTATGTATTTAGCAGATGCTTTTGTCCAAAGCGACTTACAAGTGATAATCGGCATGTTGCCCTTGAGGCTAACAACAACAATAACAACAACAACTTGACATCAATCATGGAGAGTAGGGAACAAGGAGTGGACAGTAGAGAGGGGGACGGGTGCAGGTAGGGTGCTAGTTTAGAAGATGCTCTCTGAAGAGCAGGGTCTTCAGGAGTTTCTGAAAATTGAAAAGGAAGCCGCAGTTCTGGTAGTGCTTGGAAGGTCATTCCACATTTGTGGAACGATGCATGAGAACAGTCTGGATTGTCCTGAGCGTGGTGTAGGCACTGCTAGCCGACGATCCTGTGATGACCGGAGCGGCCGGGCCGAGACGTAAGCCTTTGCGAGAGGATTCAGGTAGATGGGAGCCGTACCATCTCGGACTTTATATGCTAGTGTTAGCAATTTGAATTTGATGCGTGCTGCTAGCGGTAGCTAGTGGAGCCCAATGAACAGAGGGGTGACATGTGCTCTTTTTGGCTGATTGAAGACCAGACGCGCCGCTGCGTTCTGGACCATTTGAAGAGGTCTCACAGTACACCCTGGAAGACCAGTTAGAAGGGCATTGCAGTAATCGAGGCGGGAGATGACAGTAGATTGCACCAGGAGCTGGATGGCATGTTGTGTTAGGTATGGTCTGATCTTTCGTATGTTATACAGCGCAAAGCGAGCAACAGAGGCAACATGATCTTTAAACCTCAGGTGTTCATCAATCACAACACCCAGATTTCGAACTGCCTTTGAAGGAGCCAGAGATAGGAAGACATTTTGGATTGAGATATTGTGCTGTATGGATGGTTTTGCTGGGATGACAAGTAGTTCAGTTTTAGAGAGGTTGAGTTGGAGATGGTGGGATTTCATCCATTTTAATATGACAGAGAGACAGTTTGATATTCGTGCAGAGAAAGTGTGGTCGTCCGGTGGAAATGACAGGTAGAGCTGGGTGTCGTCTGCATAGCAGTGGTAGGAGAAGCCATGTGATCGAATGATCTCACCTAGTGAGGTGGTGTATATGGCAAAGAGAAGAGGCCATAGTACAGAGCCCTGGGGGACTCCTGTGGCAAGATGGTGCACAGTAGAGGATTGTCCAAGCCAAGATACACTAAATGATCGTCCTGTGAGGTACGATTCAAACCAGGCCTGTGCTTTCTCTGTGATGCCCATGCTAGAGAGTGTGGACAAAAGGAAGCCATGGTTGACGGTGTCAACTGCAGCCGATAAGCTGAGCAGGATAAGTAAGCACTGAGGATTTGGCAGTCGCTCTAGCTTCTTTTAAGGATTCCGTCACTGCTACCAGAGCAGTTTCAGTGGAGTGGCCCTTTTTGAACCCAGATTGGTAAGGGTCAAGCAGACAGTTTTGTGAGAGATATTCTGTGATCTGCTTGAAAGCCACCCTTTAAATGATTTTGGACAGAAAAGGGAGGAGAGAGATAGGTCGGTAGTTCTCCACATGATTTGGAGGAAGAGATGTTTTTTTTTTTTTAGCAGCGGTTTAACCTGAGCATGCTTGATAGAGGTGGGAAATGTACCGGATGTCAGTGAAGCGTTGATCACATGTGTGACTGCTGCGGCTACTGTAGGAGCAATAGCTTGGAGCAGCTTAGTCGGAATTTCTGCTCATTTTCAATTGTTTATTTCTGTTGTTGTTTTTGTGTCTCTGCAGCAAACTATTCACGGAGTTCATCCTGAAAGTCCCTCAGGGTCGCCTGGTGAAACAGAAGCTAGACTGTCTGATTGACATCGTTCACAGTGATCTCTTCACTCACCATGGTGAGGCGCGCGCACACACACACACACACACACACACACACACACACACACACACACACACACACACACACACACACACACACACACACACACACACACACACACACACACTGCTCAGTTTTTCAGTGCATGTGATCTTTCTCTGTTCAGTTACGACCCACCTGCCAGGGCTGAGTGAGGTAAAGGTCATTGCTGAAGCAAAATGGAAAATCTTTGTTTTCTTTTTAAAATTTGCTGCCAAAATAAAGGTTCTCATCTCTACAGCTGATAGTGTTGAAGCACACTTTTTTAAACCCGATTTTTCAGACTTACTGCAGCAGTTAGAGTTGAGTTTTTTCGTAGTTATTACTAATTATTAAAGTAAAGCACATGTGACAATCATTTTTATTGCACTAAAAGCCAGCAAAGCTGTGTAGTAGTCATAAACGAGCCAATGGAGACATGTTTTTTGAGGTTGGTGTGTTTTATTCTTCACAATTCTGTTTCACTGTTTATTTCTTAAACGTTCCTAAAGTTTCTTTTTTCAGTAAACAGGTTTTTAAAAGACCAAACACTATGCTTTGATGGTAACTAATTTCATCTTCTGGGTTCTGTTTTTGGCTTCCAAGAGCTATCAAGCAGCCATTCATCAGACAGAAAGTGGACATCAGATTTTAACTTATAAGCAGGTCTTTGATCCATCCTTTAGCATTCAGACACACATAGGCAATAAGCACAGTGTAATGGCATGTCTGTCCTGTTCAGTAAGGGCTGATATTGAACACAGCACAGTGTAAATGTGACCACTTTCTGCCTAATGATCCACTGCTTTGATACTTTTGAAACATTAAATTGTCCAATTGGTGGTTTGACCAGTTTAGACTATTTTTATTGAAGGGTAGCTCTCAGTGTGTCGTCCTCTGGTCATTACTATCGATCTATTGCTATAGTTGTGGACAGGCAAACACCCCCCCACCCCCCCCACCCCCAGTGCTTTTGAGTACAGCGCCTGAACAGCAGGAAGAATTTTTGCTGTGACGTAGCTTCAGATTATCCTGTTGCTCAGGCCTCACTCTGACTTCATGCCCAGGTGCTCTGAACAACTTCACTCCTCCCTGTGCACATGTATGTGTTTATAAGCAGTGATGGAGAAGGCAAATTGCCAAGCCTCCACTCCGCATTTGGTTCAAGCTAAGCTCCACTTTGGAGATGTCTAAGATCACAGCAACCACATGGCACAAAGACACGGGTTTTAAGTGTATGTTTAGCACCTGCAGTAACTGATGAAACCACAATTTAGAGATGAAACTAAAAAAATTACAACATGGTGCAATCTTCCATTTATTTCAGTGATTCAATGTAGACTGAGAGGCCATCTAAAGGCTCAGGACTCCTTAGGAGGTGTTTAGGGTTGTAACGAAATAGAGTGATGTAACGATCTAGAGTTGTATTTTAATATACTGTAAGTAGATCACTTGTTATAATCAGAAGATGGGCTGTTTTTATCATCAGGGAGTTTAATTAAACACTCTGTATTGACTTTGAGACAAGAAAAGAGAGAGAGATGGGATCGTTTAAGAATCTTTAATTTCTTAATTATAAATTCTTAACAATCTACCAGGACTAACTCTGTGATGGATGAAAATGGATTTGGATGTTGTGTTGGTGCGTGTGTGTGTGTTTTGTTCAGGATCTTTAGGCTGACGGAGCGTATCTGGTTGTTATGACTACGGACCACGAGGCTTCGGAAGCTGATGACATGAGCAGCTATTTTGCCGTGTACGTACCCTGTGGAGTCTCCCAGGTAGATCAGGAAATGCCAGGTCCTAGGACCTCGGATGTGTACTGGAGCTGTTTGAAGCAGCGATCACAGCACGTCAAAGCCCGTCTGAAGGGTCGACCCCGGTACCATCGGCAGCGTCAGCTAGTGGTGCTCTTATTTTGAAGGGATGTCATCTTGTTGGTAAACAACGGAAATCTCCAGTAGCTTCACAGTTCTCAGTTAAAGAAGAAAGCACATCTGGCCAGGCTGTACTTCTCTTTTGATGACGGTGGAACCCCGTAGGACTTCCAACTGAACAGAACTGAAGTCAAAATGGAACTGAGCTTAAAATGGCGTTGCCTTGTTTTATATCTCTGAATTGTTGATAAGTTTTAGTAAAGCGGATTGGACACTTTAAGTCAACAAGCCAGATTCTCTTGCGGCAGCCGAAAGCTCTGATTGGTTGGAACAATGTGTCATGCGTTTCTATGGAGATGAGGGTCAGTCTGTCTGTGCAGTAGTCCTGTTTTCATTAAACACATAAATCATGACATCTTTATTCCACAGATCATTCACTTGATTATTATTGATCAACATCTGTTTCGACTAGCTTTAATCACAAATTAAGTACTTTGATTATTGAAAAGCGTTCTTCTTCTCCTTCTGGTTCTTCTCCTGGAATGTAAACAGTCTGAGGAACACCCGACCTTGGCGTTTTCTACACGGGTGTTACTGTGTACAGGGACAGCTGTGTGGAGCTGAAAATGAACTTCATAACGTTACATAACGTTATTAGCTCAGAGTGTGACACTATTTGTCATTCCAATTATCCTGAGATTTTGAATGTGTTTTCATAAGCTGTAAACCATTATCATCACAATTATAACAAATAGACTTGACATATCTGTATTTGCATGCAACAACTCTGTCTCAGACTAGTTTCACCTTTTCACATAAACACATTTTTGCACCATATTCAGATTTTTTTTACCTGAATGTAGTTTATAAAATGAGACTCAGATTTCAGTCCGTGGTGGTTTTATATCTTTACAAAATTTGAAGAAGAAGAAAGAAGAAAATATCATTTCTTTAGCGCCGCTCAAGATAAAAATCACGAGGCTGTTTCATTTTCAGAAAGAAAGGTGATGCCTCCTTCTAAACTTTGAGTAGAAAACAGGATTTCTATGTGAAAATATCTGAAAATCCTTCCTAGGATGAACATTTCTTCATTTGAAATGGGCTCAGTGGTAGGGATGCACCGATCAGGTTTTTTGCTGCCGATCACCGATACCGATATCAAAGAATGCTGATCACCGATACCGATCACGTGGATTGGCCAGAAATTTTCTACAACATTATAATGAGTGCTACAAACTACATAATCTGGGAATAAAGGAAATGTAACCTAATCTAAAATGGTCTGTATTAGGGTTGTCACTGTGTGAAAATTTAACCTCACGGTTATTGTGACCAAAATTACCACAGTTTCGGTATTATCGCGGTATTTTTTTTAAACGTGCTGCATTTTCACACAATTAAATAAACCCTGTATGTTAGGAAATATTCTCCTCAGTTTGTGTCTAAATTTTGTCTAAAATGTGTTATTTTGTAATTATGTTGTTTATTTGTTTACATTTTTCCCCTTTATTCTATAAAATAGCAATATTTGCCCATAACTTCTTATTTTTCGTCTGTTTGATGTCATCATTTTAAAAAATATTAGTTCAGATGATACTCAGTACTCAAGTGGCCTTCTAATCAGATACTTTTTTACCCTTACTTGAGTAATAAACCCTATATCAGGAAAATATTGTCCTCGGTTTGTGTCCTTCCAGTGAGCTTTGCAGATGTGGGAAAATGTCATCAGGCAGTAATCATTGTTAAATTCATAATTATTCTCTGAAAGAGACCAACTCTTATCTGCCCCTGGGAGCCCCGTAATACATAGCGTCATTTCAACATGGGGGGTGTCTGCGACATGGTTTATATGCAGGTAGCAGTGCTGCGGCTGCTTTATATAGCGACTCGTTGCATTCTCCCTCAGCCCAAATCCTCGGATCACGCATTTTAGCTAAAACGCTAACGTTAATTTGCCTTGCGTTGACTGTAGAGTTGTGGGTGATGGTCACGCAGATGTGTCATGAGATTTGAAGCGTTGCTGCCTTTCACAGACACTTTTTCTGCACATGCTGCAAACAGGATAGCCGTCTTCTATCAACTCCCTCGGCATTTTTCAGATATCTAAAATATGCCCGTACTTCCGACTTTGTCTTCTTTGGGGAATAATAAATGTCCTCCTGAGCGCTGCCGTCTCCTCCTTTGGCCATTATTTCAGCTTTAGCTTCAAGAAAGTTTTGGTTGTAAACATCAAAGCGTGCATGTGCCGCCGGCAACTACAGCAGATGATACGGTGGCTGGTAAGGGTCACCGCACCTACACTGCAGCCACGGTAAACCCACCAAGATAATATAGTTTTTAAAAAAACAAGACGGTTATTATTATTGTCAACTTTTTTTTTTTACCGGGGTTTACCGCTACACTGGTTACCGTGACAACCCTACCTGATCGGTCTGCTTTGATCTATTTTGAAAACTCCAATCAAAACCGATAGGGGTGCTATCGGCCGATTACGATCAAATGCCGATCCATCGGTGCATCCCTACTCAGTGGAACTTGAGAAAGCCAACTGAATTGTTGCAGATGAGGGAAGATACTGTAGCGGCTAAAATCTGTTTCTGGAAGTTTGGCGAACTCTCGTGGCCTCGTTTGATAGTTCCAGTCTGCTTGTCCTGCTCCAGTCTTGTTGTGCGCCGAAATGCCCCAACGTTTATGTCACCTTAATGGATTTAGATTTTTGAGGACGTGCAATAGGAAGGATGTGTGAAATATTATATAAACAATGTATTAAACACCACAATGTAGTACGTCCTCAAATATGAGATTTGGTTTCAGTTGAAGAATTACACACACACACACACACACACACGCACACGCACACGCGCACACACACACACACACACACACACACACACACACAAAGAATAAACACATCCGGTTTAAGCTGTATCAGGCAGATAGCTTGGGCACTGTATTCAGTAGCACCAAAAATATCTCCATGCATACATGGTTGTCACTTTATGTCGAGGCTAGTCAACATGTGACAAGTTAAACTCTTAACACCCATTAAATTTCTCTTACGGATTGAAAAGAAAAACAGATTTCATTTGAATTTAATGTAAAGCAGCTAAGTACTCCAATA